TTCAGCGCAGCTGTAAATTCGCGAATCCGTCGCGAAGATGTCAGAAACTGAACGTTGACGAGCTCGGAAAGCGCATCTTATTTACGCGACTGCACGATGCTCCTTTCCTTCTCTCCCTTTTTATTTTGTTATTTTATTATTGTTTCGAGGTTAATGTTTTTTGACTTTTTTTAAAGGTGGAATAATATATATGTCGAGAAATATATATTATATATACACGCAATATAAATTATATATAACGCGATCGATATATTTGCGACCTATATATAAATATATACGGTGCGTTATACTACCAAAAGCATTTAATTTATACCTAAATATATTTCGATCTATTGTTTTTTTTTTTTAGCAGCGCGATTACAAGACGAGTGGTTTATTCGTGGCGAATGTAGCAGTTATTTAGGCAACGTGTTATTGTTGAAATAAAAATGAGAAAGGAAGGGTATCATTTGGCGGTGATCTCAAGCCGTATGATATATTTATCTAATTTATTCGCAATGCGAAGAGTAAATAAACGAACAGGAAGAATTCACGTTTCAGAATGCGAGCGCGATTCACAGCTATGTTTAACTGACGCTCAAATATATCCGTAGTTTACGTTTCAACGGCATATCATCCTCTTTGCAGAGATAAGCGAGGCGGAAATTACTTTATTCACACTGAATATCACCGCATCTCTGCGTAATGTTCCTTATTCCCGCCCTGAAGCAGCAAGAGGGACCTTTGTTTCATCATGGAAGTGCAGTCTAGAACTGTGGAACATTACCGAGGCGCGAGGGAATTTATAACAGGGCGACGAAGTGCAAGAACAAAGAAGCGAATTGTGTATTGTGTAAGCTGGTTTCTCCTTTTCTTTTTCTTTTCCCTATGGATATCTGTTTATTTAGGGCATAGTGCCACGCATTCTTCTTCTTTACATCCTTCTTTCTTTACTTAATGTAAAAGTCTTTTTTTAAACATCACGAGAACACGAACGTGGTAAATCCATAGAAGAAAGAGAGGAAAAGGAGGAGATTGGAAGAAGAACGAGGAAATTCACGACGAGTTTCCGCACTCCAGACATTATGACATACATACATATATATATATATATATATATATATATACGTATATATATAATATATACATCATTAAATCGAAGATTTTTCTAAGACGGCGATGCTTTTGTATTTGGAAATGTGGAGAAGCGACAAGATGGACCGAGACATTGAAGAGGTATTATCGAGTGGGTATATAGGTACCGTTTTACCGTACTTGTATCATGCGATGTTGCATAAATAATAGCGAAGCAGCTTGTTCGAAGAGTACTGTAGCTCTCAGGTGCAAATATTGTTATTTAATGACGTACATAAACTTTGATTTATAATAAACATATTTCCACTTGTGTGCCTACCTCCTTTCATATTCCCTTTTACACCGCCTCGAAATCTGTCCTGAATATTAATTTTTCACAAATTTGGCCCACAAAGTTGATCGTACTGCTGAGAGATGAATGCCCTTTCAGCACGTTGAATTGTCATCATTGGAAATTTAAAGGTCTTCTGATCCGCGTTAAATTACACTACTTATAAGATATAATTCTATAGGTCTTAAAACGTTCTATTGGAAAAATATCATTGCATTAAAATATTTATATTAATTCTCAAATTGTTTAATTAACCCTACCAGTAGGTATGTCTTTATCTTTTGTTCATATTTCTCATTTCTTTAAGAAACATTTCTCGAAGAAATATTTTTTACAAAGAAGAGTCCAGATAATGCAATTAAATATATAATAATAAATTCAGATAATGCAATTTAACTACGCATGTCGATCAGGAGGAGATAATAATAAACACGCGAATCTGTATTTGAATAATAGAAAAGTGTTTATTGAGCATAAAGTTACATATTACAATGGTAATAAGAATGACAATGTTGATGACGATGGTCGATGAGGGTGACGAATAATGAGGGAGGATAATAACGATAAAACTAATGGTATAGTCCGTTTCTTCGAACGTATGATAAAACTTATATACCGCGATTGAGTCATACACTTAAACAACGTACTTTTACAGACCTCTCATTTGTATCAGCTTGACTAGCATTATTAGAAGCATTATCGACAATTGTTATAACAGTTAATAATCGTGGGTGTGTGTTAAGAATCGGATAAGGAGGATGTGTAAGCGTTGTTGTCTACGCAATATCTGAGACATAAGATCACGTTATATAAGATATATATTAAAACGCGATTCAATAAATTAGATTGAGATACGGGGGAAGAAGAGGAATAAGAAGAGGGGGGGGGGAGGAGAGGGAATGTTGGAAAAAGAAGTGGGTGAAGAGATGATGAGGAAATATACATTCATAGATCGCTAAATTGTTACATATACATATGACGAGTACGTACACATTCTAAGCAATAAAAATGCGAGGCTGATTTGCATGAGCACTCTCTCTCTCTCTCTCTCTCTCTCTCTCTCTCTCTCTCTCTTTCTTTCTCTCCCGTAGTCAGCAAAAAAATATCTCTAACGTCATTCATCGTTTTCGCGCGCGAGAAGCGTCGGGAAATCGTCGATCTACATTAATACCATCTAATAATTTCGTTATCACCGTTCACGCATTATTGCGGTATTCACGTTATTGGCGCGGGGGCCGATAACAATTAACGATAATAATAGTTATCGAATAAAAGTGATCACGGTAACGATAATTATTATTATCGTCGTCATACAATTTCACGGACGCATACGGCATAACAGGAGTTTATAACACACAGCCTTCGATCGATGTCCAAATCAGCCTGGCAAGTTTTTAATAGTCGGAAAGTGGAAAAGAAGAGGAGGGAAACAACGTGAACGTCACCACATGTTGTGTCGTCGCGCGCATAAGAGAAAATGTATACAGCTCGCGACTTAAGAAAAGAGAAACAGGAGAGAAACTAAGAGGACGATTATTCACGAAATTCACTTAAAGATTACGAATTGCTTATATCTATCTAGTAATTCTTCGATTCGCTCCTTCGTAGAAAGTACTTAAAATAGAATCTAAGCTAGTCTTCTTCTTCATCTTCGTCGTTCTCTACTCTAAAACATGTCCTCGCATCGAGAAGTACCTTAACCTTACGATTTTTTTCTCTCTTTTTTTTCCTTTTCCTTTTTCTTTCTCCCCTCCTTTGTTCGCTCGATTATAGAAAACTTATAGCGCGCTTCGATTCTTGTCTTTCGTATATAAAGTATAGTTACTCGCGAAGTTGCCTTCAAGTCCAGAGATCACTCGCGCATCGCGGGTCGTTACAGATGTGTCAATATATTAACATTATATCGATCAAAGAGAGCGAATTGCATTGCACGTCAATTGCACATGTGACAAAGTAACATTTCGATCTTGGCGAATCCGTTTGCTCCTTTATTTACACAGTTGTGACGAGAGAGACGAAAAAAGAAGACAAAATCGATCGTTTCAGATTAATCGCCAGACGTGTTCGTTTCTTTTTCACGTATTTATATTTGCACGAGTAAAAGACGAGTGAAATTGTTCGTTGACAACCTTAAAGCGACAGGCGGCCAAATTGCGTTTCAGCGGAGATTCAATTTCGACCTGAAATTTTCTTCTTCTTCGATGTTCTTCCGCCAATGTTCCCTCGACTCAAATCCCACTTCGCTCGTTCGGAACCGCTCCCGAAGTAAGTGGCGGCCGTCCCTTCCATTGTTTTTTTTTTCTTATTATTGCAAACGTCCACGAGACACCGAATACTGAGTAACATGTACGATTTTTCGCGACACACACACACACACACACACACACACACACACACACACACACACACACACACACACACACACACACACACACACACACACACACACACACACACACACACACACACACACACACACACACACACACACACACACACACACACACACACACACACACACACACACACACACACACACACACACACACACACACACACACACACACACACACACACACACACACACACACACACACACACACACACACACACACACACACACACACACACACACACACACACACACACACACACACACACACACACACACACACACACACACACACACACACACACACACACACACACACACACACACACACACACACACACACACACACACACACACACACACACACACACACACACACACACACACACACACACACACACACACACACACACACACACACACACACACACACACACACACACACACACACACACACACACACACACACACACACACACACACACACACACACACACACACACACACACACACACACACACACACACACACACACACACACACTGCGTATACTCGGTGCGAGCGCGAAACGAAACATGTGCGCTCTCTCCGCGAGATTATCGCTTCGCGCAAACACACACGCACTCACACACGCGCATTCATACACGCGCGCGCGAATCTGCTCGCGCACTTCAGTTTCTTTTTCCACTCTCTTCTTTCCTCGCATTGCACTCGGATAAACATTCAATCAGTGGTCCGTTCCGCTGTGCCGACCGTAGCGAAAACTGATACGTCGCGAAAGATCGACGGGAATTTCGGTCGTACAAGTAATACCATTCTCCTCCTTCCATCGTGAATATTATTTAATTAATTTTCAGCAGGTATCGCTAATTTTTCAGGGAAGTTCAATTAACAGTTCCCGACACTGTGGATGCACTTCTTTCAAATCAGTTGCAATTTTCACACCGGTTTCATAATATTTATGTACGATATTATATTATGTAACGTGCTAAGAAACAAGTTTAAATCATATAATTATGTAAGGAGAATTGAGGGAAATGTTTAGAATAAGTTTGAATTTAATTGTAAAATATATTTTATAATTTAATATTCATAATTATAAAAAAGAATATATATATGTACATATTTATATGATTATAAATGATCAAAGAACGGTACACAAATATAGCAGTATAATATAATTATTGAGATATATTTTATAATTATAAACATAATTATGATATATCTTAATAATTATTGTATTATACCGCCATATTTATATGTTAAATCTATAAGTAGTACCTGCTGAGAATTAAAATTGTACGTCGGCTTATTCTATGATCAAATAACGCACGGATATCGCAACGTCGATTGTGCAATGATACTGCTCGAGATTTGCTTTGTCCTAAACTGGAAAAGAGAGACTTAGCTTAATGTTTACGTTAAGATTAATTTAATTTGGGATGTCCACAACGGAATACGAATAGTCTTATCTTCGCACGTTTTTAAGTACCCAAAATACTTGCGCAAGTGTTTAAAGACGCATACAGATGTGCATACATACATACACACACACGCATACACACACGCATACGCACTCCTTCCTTCCCTCCTTCTTCTTTCTTTCTTTCTCTCTCTTATCTACTGTTAGTTTCTTCACTTACAAGTAAAAATTCGCAAATATTTCTTTTTTCTGGAAATGGCAGTGCCGGAAAGGGAGAATTTCCGCCGGGAAATTTCGAACACATTAAAATTCCTCACGCGGAATTGAATATAAACGAATCGCTCAACATCAAGTGGGCATAATTCGATGAATCTGCATTTTGAGAAAATTAAGAGAAACGTGAGTCGCTCGTATGACGATAGCGCAAAATAAGTGAAACTATTTTCCATTCAAAACACCGACTGACGAATTTGAAAACGTGATAAATATTTTTAGAGATGTTTATCCGTGAAAAAATCCGAGATATACTGAGAAATGTTACACATTTTTCGATCTCTTCGTCGGAGTGTTTCAGAAATACGTTCGAATTGGTATGAAAAATCCGGGAAAAATTTCGTTTCAAGTTAGAACGTTTGCAGAAAGTCTGAGAGATCGTATGAAAAGACGAGAGATTGGAGAAAAGAAAGTCAAAAGTATTTTCGACTTACGTCTTCACGGGCATTGAGCGAATCTAAATGCAATTTGCACGGGAAGCTTCGGAGGAAATGTTTTTACGCATGCTCGAAGGAGATGATACATACACCTGTGGGGAAACGGTGTGCGGAGAAAAACGGTTGCGCCTTGCGACAGGTGTGGCTTTACTATATCTCGAAGAAGGCGGTAGGTGCCGATTTATGACGAGGGTGTGTTGTCGATGAATTAAATGACGAGGATATTGTTGCGTTCTTAAGAACTGGTCTTGGGCCACGCTATCTTCGCGTCGATCCGTTTGTAGGCGAAAAGGCAATGGGAGAGTTCTTGCGGGCACTCGTGATCCCCGAGCAAGGTTTCTGTAACGGATGAATCTGTGAGAAATCGTACGAATCGTGATTTAGTGTTGACCGCTGAAATGTATGAAACGTAAAAGCTTATCTCGACGAAAGGCTCGGTCTAACCGAAGACTACCAAGGAAAAGACTGAACCAATGAAACTCTGGATAAACCTTTACCGGAGTTCGAATTATTTGCTTTCGAAACATATTGCAATCGCATCTCGCGAATACGAGCGAATTACTCACCTTCCCCTTGCACCAACTTGAAGAGCCCGTAGTCCTGAGGATTGGTGCACCTTATTTTATGCGCGAGGATGCGGCAGATTTCCCGGGTGTTCATGTTGGGCCGCACCGGCAGCGTTCTGGTATTCAGGGAGCCGTGCAACTCGTCGGGCACTAAGATCCGCAGCACTGACGAGCAGTCCGGCGCCCCGCAACCCTGAAAACCCCGATTGGGACTTGGTGAATTCGTCCGTGGAACACTGAGACACTTGAAAATGAGTCTCAGAGCCGCCAATCTCTCAGACACGCGGCTCTTCTGTCTACCGTCACTCGCGCATGCCGATTACGGGAGAATCTACGAAGAAGCAGGCGACTTTCCAACGGACGGTGACTTACGTTCAAGGTCGACATCGTGTTTTGGCTCGACTTGAAGGTCTTGAGGACGTGCACGGCGCTCGACCACGTCGTCAGGTAGTATCCGCCCTCGCCCGTCAACAGCGAGGGATGCAGGAGACCCCACATATATTCAGCTTCGACCTCCGCGTCCACCACCTTGCCGCGCACGAGTACCCAGACGACCATCGGCAAGAGATCATCGGCGCCCAACGTCACGTGGCGACCCGAGTTCGCCTGCTTCACCTGAAAGTGGACGACCGATGAGCACTGACACTGATTTTTCGTTACCGCTGGTCTCGTGGCCGCTCGTCAGCGTATCCACGTGACTCCACACTGGGAAGAAATATTTAACAAAATTTGAAAAAAACAAAAAGAACACAAACGTTTATTCGGTCGGTAACAATACGTAATTTACTTATATTTCCAAATTATTTTATTTAAACCGAACGAACGACTGCTTTTCGCGAGAAGCTCGCAGATTCGAAGACACGTGTGCATTTTCTCATTTGAGGATGATTTTTTCACAGGGTGAACATATATGTATGTGGATATGTTGTCGGCGGATAAATGTATATTTTAGTTTTCGGAGATTTCTTATTCGAACTGCGATATTACTTGCTGAACTCGAAGAAAAGGGGACTCACAGAGTTGAAGAGGGCCGAGATCGCAGCCAGTAGGTTCTCCAGCTTGTCCAACGGCGAGTCGGCCTTCTGCAGTCGTTCGATGCACCTGAGAATGCGCTCCAGATTGTCCTCCGAGGGCGGTATAATCTTAGGCTGTGAATAAAACATTACGATCGATAGAATCTTAAGAAAGGACAGAAGCAATGAGGAGGCGTATAAGAGTCGGCATCGGAGAAAATAAGGAAGAACTAATCGTAAGTAATAAATAATCTAAATAAGTAAGCACTTGCGAGAGTAGCTTGGAAATTTCCGAAGAAATACAATAATGCCTCTTAATTCGTATCGAATAAACAGAAAAGAAACGTCTGAGTAACGATTCATCGCGGGTTGTAGCATTTTAATAAAAAATGCTTAATATAAATTAAAAAAAAAAAACATCGGTCTAATATTGTTTCCCCAACTGCTCGAGCCGCCACTTACTCGAACGCCGAGCTCGTGCATGTTCTTGCCGTAGGCGTGCTGGATATTCTCAGCGAGGGTCTGCAGGGACCCGGTGGCGGCGTAGTGCTCGACGAACAGCTTGTAGACGTGCTCCCGCAACGGTGTCACCACCAGACCCATCATCACCTCCTCGAGGATCGCGTCGATGTTGAGGAACTCGTTCGGCCGCAGCTTCAGCCGCACCTTCTCCACCTCACGCTCGAACTCGGGCTCGCCGTTCACCAGGTAATTCTTCATGCCCGACATGAACTGCCGCATGTTGCGCGTCACCACGTGCGGACTTGCCTCCTTGCCTTCCTTCGTGCATTGGATGAAGTTGTCGATATTTTGCGAGAACGTCGTCGCCTTGTCGGCGGCCAGTCGCAGCGCGTAACTCCTGATGGTGGACCCGGTGCCGCCTGCGTCGCGGTTCCTCAGCGCTTGCAATCGCGGCGGCGCTGCGGAGGAGAAAATCTTATCGCGATACCTCATGGAAAAATACGTCAGTTGTATAAAAATCACTTCGAAAGAAGGAAACGATATTCGATCCAACAACAGTGATGAAAACTTATCAAGGGCAGCGGGGAGTCGATCGATCTCGCCGAGTTATTGTTTCTTGTGTTTGGAGAAACTATATAGATTCGGATGATTTTTATTTTAGCTAAATAAATTTGGTTACGTATGGGAATATGAGTTGTAAGTTATTGAATTTGAATTTTGCAATCAGTTGCTGTTATCTTTCAATAAGCTCTCCGAATATATATTCTCTTATGTACTTCATCAATCATATAAACATAGTGTGTGTGCGTGCGCGCGCGCGCGCGTGTGTGTGTATGAATAACTATATTTAGTAATTAATATACAGGCTTGTGTTCTATATATTTATATAATTATTATATTTTATATTTATAACATATTTCATAGATTAAAATAATAATCAATACAAGTTTATAATTATTTGCCACGTGCCATTCCCAAAGAAATACGTAATAATTTTCACAAGATTATTACAATATATTTTGCCAGAGAAGCGTTGTTGGTTTACATTCGCGCACTTCAATTTTGTACCTTCGACAAGGCTTCATAGCCCGAAAACAAAACAACGATACGTCGGTTTTTCTCTCGGTCGTCACATATATAAAATATTCGTTACTTAAATTGTTGTCCTCAAATAAAGATTAAGAACCGTTTGAGAATCGATTTGGAATGTAACATTTATCGACAGCTCGTCAGATTTCTCGTTCTACTACTTCCTTGCCCTTACACCGTGTGCATTTCCTGCAAATCCACCAAAACCACCTTCTGAATTGCCAGAAGAAGACGGTCCTCAGCGTGACTTTCTTCTTGCGCTTCACCGTCTGTGTGTGATCGATGCCTTCGTCGGCCATCGTGAGGAATCTGCGATTCGCGCGAAAAAGAGAGATTCGCGTTCTGGAAAATCTCCTCCCTTTGATCGTCCCTGTATCGTCCGTGTGTGCAGACAAATCCACTGGTGCGCCGGCGACTGGTTCCAGAGGAGAGACCTTTCCTCTTCCGCGATCCCTCCGCCAAATTTCTCCGGCGGATTAATCGAATCGCCAATTAATTCGGATGAATGCGCACTCCTGGCGAATTCGTGCGCGTATTTTTGAGCGGCGTGAGAGCCGCCGCTCGCACGAGATCGGCAATTACGCGTAATTACGCGCCGAACGGCAATTAATCGTTATCGACGGTTTAACGACTCCTTATCGCGCGAGAGCGGGCGGGAGGGGGGGGGGAGGGGGCGAGTTCGCCGACGGATGTGCTCGAGATCTACGCACGGGAGATACAGGGAGAAGGCACATCCGTTGCGCGCTTCTTTTTCGCCGGCACTTCTCGCGAACTTGCACTTCGATATCGCGTCGCGGGTCACTCGCGAGGTTGCTGTTGCGAAGCACGCGATGATACTGTCGCGAATAGCTGACCAGCTGACCGGTCGGTCGGCGGATGATGAGACACTCGAGAGTGCCACCACCGTTTTAAGGTGAAAAGCTGAGCAGGACTCGCTCGTTGAGGATTCATCGCGCTCACGTGGTTCGGCCGGTCGCGAAGTCACCGAAGGTGAAGCATCGAAAGCGGGTAGCTTTGCTAAATGTCCGCTTCGAATTTCCACCTCGAGGAACGTGTGGGGTTTTTTTGTGGCAGAAATGTGGAGAAACGCTTGTACTTTTTATCGGAGGAATGCGGCGAGCACGCAAGGGAAAAGGGGGTCTCTTGGGGAAGTAGGAGTGCGGGTAATTTCCCCTCGATGTGAAAGTAGACGAAACGCGCGCACTGAGGGAAAAACATAGTTGGGGTGACTATAATTTCATTATATTTTGTATGGTCGATCTTGGCTTCAATTGTAATATAATTATATTGAATTACACAGCTGATGTGAAAAAATTTACACGGGTTGGTCACTGTGCCAATGTCATAATTATAACCCGCAGAGTAACGTTTACTGTATTTACGGTTTTCTTGACTACGATTTTTTAACTATGCCATTACGCTTGCGAGCGTCGTTTTTCTCTCAGTGTACTCTCGCGACACACCTCGACGCTTTCGGGTTAATTCGGCCCCGTGAGCTTTCCTTCGCCCTCGAATTTCGCGTACTGGAGAAAGCATCTCTCGTCCTTGTTATTCGTGAGAGGAAGCTTCGCTCGTGAAGGGAACTGGGTGCCTCCCCAACGCAGATTAGAAATTAGAAAGCATTATTTTAAATTTCTTCGTGATCATCATAAGTTGGATTATAATTGGATGCTGCGTTATCGCCTGCTACGGACGCTTAACCCTGCGTAATTAGCGAGTAGCGAACGCGGCGAAGCGGGGCCGGGAAAAGCGGTCATTATCAGCGCTTCGTCATAATTTGTTCTTTCGCGCGGAGCGAGTGATCGCGTCATCGCGCGGGGAAGTAAGAAAATTCCGCGGCGCGCGCGAATACTTCCCGTCTGACGCATCGTCGCCGCCGCACGATTCCTTTCTTCCTCTCTCACACCCTTTCTTCCCCTCTAACGGCCGAGCGCGAATAGATCGTCGACGGTCTGACCTTCGATCGAGCTGCTTGATCGAACGCATTCTCCATTCGCCCCGAGCGACGGCGACTCTCGGTCTCTCTTACACCGACTCCACGTGTCCACGTCTGAAGTTGACGCAACCCGCTCATCCCGATTCAGTGCTTAAGACTCGAGCAGATATTTCGAGATATTTCGGGATATTTCAGTTAAGGTCGTGTCGGAATATAGTTATTGGGTCTCGCAGAGCCAGCGCGCGCCAATGGAGTTTAATTTACGATCGTATATCAACTTCGGGGATTTCAGTGTGCGAAACTACATTGAAGAAAACAACAACCCGAGTAGAAATTAAACCAGTTTCTAGCTACTAACTGGCCGGTAATTCCCTAACCAGCTAGTTCCCGGCTCAGTTTTACCGGCTAGAAACTTACAAATTCGGGAGAATTTTAGGATAACTGGATAGTAAAACTAGGCAGTCTCCGACGAAGAAATGGCCGAGAAAAACTATCCAGAATTTTCAGAGTCTTCGCCGGATAGAAACTGTCCAGTATCGTCTTGCTTTTTCTTTTGGAATAATTTATGGCATATAATCGATCGAGAAATAATAGTCAATACTTCTTGGATAATTCCTAAACACATTTACATTTCAATGGATTCAAACCAATAAAAACGCCCGGTTTCTGTCCGGCGACCAGTTTTCCCCTAACGTTTCTCCATTCCTCTTCGGGAATGTCAGACGCGGATTTTCTTTCACACAGAACGAGACAACGATCGTGAGGGACGCGTGTTCGCGACGTGTCCGCGTAGCACGCGAGTCAATTCCCGTAAGTTCCCGGCCGACGATCACGAAGAGAGGCAGAACAATAACGTTACGCTGCACGAACCGGCCAGACAGACGGACAGACGGGCGGACGTGCGGGCGGATGGACTCCGTGTTACGTAATCCGCCGGTTGCGCGACACGGTAATTACGGTTAGAGACGTTCCTTCAAGGTTCGTCGGCGTGTGCGGTCAGCGATTCGCGCGTGTTATCCGTGTTTAGCACGCGGTGCACACGCGCGCCGATCACGACCGGGTCGGTTTTAATCGCTTACTTGAAAAATTATTGCAGCCTCGCAAGGACGACGAGAGGTGTTTGATAAGAAGCTTCGGAATATTTAGTTTACGTTTCTACGTGAGTCTATCTCTGTGCACGTGTGTATGTGCGTGTTCGTTTTTTTTTTCCTGAAGACAGACAATGAGCCCAAGCACTTACACAAAAGCGGATCGAGTCGCTCCTTGAAGCTCTTGTTCCTCTTGATCCTCTCCACGTCACTTTCGTCCGTGTCCAGCATGGTCTCCCACTCGGAAGGGTCGTACGTGCGATCCTTCCGCGAGTATCCCTCTAATGGCATGTTCTCGCGCTCCACGTTCCGTTTCTCCACGTTGTCGTACGACGAGTTCCGGTCGCTGTACAGCGACTCGCACGTGCTGTCCGGCGGCTTCAGCAATTCCGGGTACCTGGCCGAAGGTGCGGGTTAAAAATCGCGCCTGCTCACTCAGTGTCTCAGAGCCACCACCACGTGAAAGCCGATCACGATCGAATTAGCGGAAGCTCGCGATCTCGAATTGTTTCATTGCCGATTCAAACGACGCCCGAAATTAGACTCATCGAGCTCAGCTTCTTAAAAAGCGTCTCAAACCGATCATTGCTGCGGAACTGTAAGATACATTTGACATCACGATGCTTTTGTCCGAAACGTTTCTTCATATACTTGACCGCTTTGGAAATATTTGTCCGTAATCAATGTGTATCAAATTGCTCACGAAGGGATTATTCAGCCCTTAATCGTGAAAGTGTATGAAAAGAAAAAGATACGCGTCTCTTACTTTCGGTTGTTCTGCAATTCCAGTTTATCAATCATTGAAATAATGTAAAGGTGTTGTGTAATTTCCCGGGCAAGAGAGACTCACCGTTGCAGAATGATACTCTGGACGGTCAAAGTGTTCCCGACGATGTCCCTGTTATTGCACTCCTCGTCGGGGAACTTCCTCGCGGCCGTGTTGTCGCCCTCGTAATCAGCATCACAGTCGTAGTCCGGCTCGCAGTCTTCCGTGTCATTACCTGGTTCAGATTTTGAAGATCCTCTTAATACAGCATTCGGTGTGCGCTTTATGAATTAAAGAAGGAACAAACAGCGAAGCTCCACGTAACTAAAGAAGAAGTCAAACGCGAGATTTTATGTCGAACCAAAAGAAAAAAAGAAAAAACCCGCTTAACGTCGAATTGTAGGAGACGAGAGAAAATACATCGGGAGTTTGCTGAGCCGGGATTCGAACTCGATGAGCTTTTCGCTTTCCGGTCGACTGTTCTTATTGAGCGAACGTTACTACAGTCAGTATCAGTGATAATAATTTTATATGCATATTATTACTACGATTTTGTGATTAAAGTCATGAGAAGGTGTAGGTTGGTGGTGAAAACAGTTATAATTCCTCTCAAAGTGATTCCTAATTCCGACGAATCGTCCTTCGCTCTTGCATGGATCTCATTCGTCAAAGATGGCTCCTGACTCCCTTCTTTTCACAATAATACTCGTTTCCCCAGGGGATTCGAAAATGCGACAATCGTGAGAGATGAAACAATTGAGAAGAAACCACATTCGCGGGTAGACCGTTTGTGCGACGAGGAGCGGAAAGGTACCTATAAATTCCCAGCTGGAGTCCACCGCCCATGAGGTGTCGTTGAAGACCCTCGTCCTGATTTTGGGCGGCTGCACGGGCTTCGCCCGCGGTATCTTCTTCGTCTCCCTGACGCCGTGGAGGCGCTTCGCCAGGTTGTCGACCGAGGACGAGATCAGCGGGGTCTTGTCCTCGGCCTCCTCCGGCTCCTCCCAGTCGATCGGGTGCAGCAGCTGGTTCCCGTTGTTCCCCGTCGGCGTCTGCAGCCAGCCGGGCTCGCTGTGTCGGTACTTGTTCGTCGCCGGATTACCCCTCGGCGGATTCCGCCTCCGCGGTATTATGGCGGCGTTCTGCGCGGTGACGATCGCGTCCGCCGGTTCCGCGTAGAACGGGCTGCTCTGCTTCGACTCCGGTGTCTGCGGACTGTTGCTCTCAGACTTGGCGCCCAGCACCAGGCCGAGCTTGTTCCGCGGCGGCGTCACCGTGCTCGGGCTGTTCAACGAATTGGCACTGCCTGTATGGCAGAGAGAGAGAGAGAGAGAGAGAGAGAGAGAGTTCGTCATTTGATCGGCTGGATGGCTTGAAACATCATATTTGTCGCGCATGACGCGTTGAGAGGACACACTCATTGTTTGGTTTCTTTAGAAACCGCCTCGAATAAAGGAAAAACCTGGCCGATTCGATTAAAAGGATATTCAGTTAACTTTCGTATCGTTTCTTCCCGGCGTTTATTTCTCCTTTCTAAACGAAACAAGTCTATGTTACATTATTATACGATAAATAAAATACAGGAGCGAGCTGCTAAGAGGTTTTCCCAAAATGAACGGTGACGGGGAAGGTGTGAGATCGAATCAAAGGAGAAACGTAAGGTTGACACTTACAAACTCTGGATAGCAGATCGGGCCGCCTTCCCATGCCGGTCTCTTCGGGCGAGTTTTGATCGGCGGGACTCTTGAGTTCCGGTTTGAAACTGCTGAGCTCCGGACTGGTCGTCTCCTTGTAGCTCAACTTGTCGTTCCTCAGGATGAACCTGTCGGTGTTCCTCAGCACCTGCATCTGCTCACTCGGCGGCACTCGATCGTTCAAGCTCCTCTCGCCGGGGCTAACGATCCTCTCGTGGGCCGTCATCAGCCGGTCGTTCGAGTTCTTCAAACGGTCCAGCGGGGTGCAGGCGTTCCTATTGTTGTCCTTCGACGACGACGACTTGGTGTTTTCATTGGGCGACCAGGTCGATTGATTCGACTGGTCCGTCGTGTTCCAGATGTCCTCGTAGTCGGAGATCTTGTCGGCCGGCGAGCTGCGATAATACGAGTCCAGGATGTCCGACTCCTGATAATGCTGCGAGTTCTTGCGGTTCTCGCGATCACGGCGTCTCTTGGACTTGCTGGTGCTGGAGTTCGGTGTGTTCGGCGAGAGAACGTTGGGGGTCTTCAGGCCGGCCGGGTTCAGCGGGTTCGGCACCAGCTTCGACGTGGGTGACAAGACCGGGGTGGTGGGCGAGAGCGGCGACTTAATGCCGGAGAAGCTGGACGCTAGCGACTTGCAGGAGGTCGCGCTCTGCGGGCTTAGGAGCGACGTGTTGGGATCCGACGGCGTATTTTGCTGTTTCGATGAGAAAAACAAAAAAACCCCCCGATGTCAGCGAGTTTCGACTGAACTCCCGGGAGGATTCCTCGCTTCGACGCTCGTCGTTTTCACTGTCGACTCCGACCACCCGGATGGGCCGGGTTTGCAGAATTACCCGGGTAACTGAGCATACGATTAACTTCAGACGTTGCAAATGATTTTTCGAACGACGACAAATGACAAACAAATGTATTGCAAACTCGTGATTATTTATTATCATTTATTTGAGGGACTCTAAGTGCACTAAGGTATCCGCGAACACCCGGATAGCCGGGTAATCGAAATCGACTCGGATTGCGACCGACAGCGCGAATCGTTACCTGCGAGGTGTTCACGTCGCTGGTGGTCTGGTTGACGTTGAACGTCACCGTGGTGGTGACGGTGAAGTTGCTCTGGCTCTGACTGAAACCCGGCTTCGCCCATCTCGGCGGAGGCGGCGGCGGCGTCTTCACGCTCTGCGTCGCGCCCTGAGGGTTCTCGGCGACGATGTTCCTAACGTCGGCCGGCAGCACGGGCGACGTCGTGCACGAGAGGCTCTGAGTCTGATGGTGGTGATGGTGGTGCACACTCGTGGTCGACGTGCTCGAGAAAGTCTTGCCGGTACTCTTGCCGGCGAACTCCCCGCCGTTTCTCAGAGTGTCGAAGCTGCCGCTCTTCGAGTCCTGGGCCGGACTCAGCACGTTGCTCTCCACGTTGTGCACAACTGGCGACGGGCATCGCACGCTCTGCACCAGATTCGGCGAGATCAGCCGTTGCGACAGCTTGTCGCACGGCGACGACGGCACCGCCCGCTGCTCCCTCCCCCGCGTGTCCAACGGCTCGTTGAAGGTCGTCAGGTTCAGGGTGTTGGGCGGAGTAGGTCGCGGTTGACGCGGCAACGACGACGCGACGAACGTGGAAGCCGCCACGGTGTTGGTGGTCGGTGACGAAGTGCCTGCATTCCGGCGGGAATATGTTACGCTACCCGTCGGGCTGACGGATTATTTTCGGCGACGGATTTCGGCGGACGGGGCTACCCCGTCCGAGGAATTCCCTCCCGCGAGAGAACTTTCGGAAATCTCAGAATACAGATGTGGGTCGCGCGCGGGAAGGCAGAATCCGAGCGTCCGCGATAATCGGTCGTCGAGACGAATATTTGTAAATGCGGATGTTTCCGATTCTTGAGAAGAATTAACTTTTGCACTCACTAAGTGGTGGCCAACTTTAATTTGTTTGAAAAAGAAGTTTGTGATTAAAAGAAGTTTTATCTCGGAAAAATTGAAGTTTTCTTATTTCACCACTTCGATTTTCTCGAAAGTTAAAACTTTTATTTACAACTTTTTATTAATACAATAGTAATAATGATCAATTATTTCGATTTTCTTTTTAAATTCGAAAAAGAGAGAATTTAAATTTATAGAAACTATTCTACAATCTCTCTCTCTCTCTCTCTACGTGCGAGACAATGGGAAAAAGAGCCGGATCGCGGATGTTGACGTATGATTTGTAAAATCGCTTGGCGGAATAAAGTCAAGGTTAATACATACAATTTTCCGCTCGAAGCGAATTTTAATCTCATTTCGCTTCCGTTCGCTCGCTGCTTCATCAATTCTTTGTTCCCGCCTTTAGTCTCATTTCATTCTAAACCTCACTCCCTCGCTTTACTATCGCGAAGATGATCTCCATAAAAATTGTAAAATCATGCGAGAATTCTACGAACATTATTCTATCCTTGGTTGTTTTACACCGTTAACACCGGGAGATAGATAGCGTGACTATTCATTACACCGAGTCGTTGAGTAACCAATGCAACGGCCGGTGTGTGAAGGGGAACAGCTGTAAGAACGGCGAAGCAAAGTAGTCAATGTCTCACTTACGCGTATCGTGGGACGATATCGGCGCGAGATTCAGCACTATGCTCTCCGTGGTCGGCGTGTCGGCGTTATTGTTGTTGCTGCTGTGATGATGGTTATTGTTGCCTGCGAAGAGAGGATACGCGCTACGATTATCCATGTTTCGCGCGCGATCGCGCGAACAGAGCTAAACGACGTGAACTAAACTCGCGATCTGATCGGGAAACTGAGAATTCGTTGGTTCTCTCGAATTATCCGGGTATCCGGCTACCCAAGTACCAGGATACCCGAATCCTTCGGATATCTCGCGGAATACGTAAATATTACTTTCATCATAGGTGAATATGATTATCCTAATTACATTATTCGTTCGAAACATCCATCTGCCGTTTTGCAAACATGTTGCTGCTGCGTTCTGTCACGGATCGCCGGCAATGAATTTGCCTGAATTCAAACCCATCGGAACCCGTTCCCGTGAAACATCGTTACCGTTACGAAGTCACTTTTATTCAGTGAACGATTCGGTGACGGCGGTTATTCGCTCCCGCCGGTGCAACGAAAAAAGTGACACACGGCGAGCGCGCGTTTCGAAATCACTGCGGGGGAAAAACTAACAATACTGCGAACGAGTTTTCGCGGCCTCGGTCGGACTCGGCCGGCGGTAATTGTTTCCTCCGGTGTGTTACGCGTCGCTTCGCCGGGAGAACTCACCGCCGTGGAAACTGCTGAGACTGGACGTGTTGCTGCTGCTGCTTTCTGCGGGTGGTTTCGGATTCGCCATAGGATACCGCCAGAATTCCTGGCCCAGCAATGCGAGCGACGACAGTTGCTGCCTGTTCTTCGCTTCCCGCATCGCCCGGGGCAACGTCAGTTGCACCGGCAGCTCGTCACTGTTCGCCACAAACGGAAACAGATCGGTCGATTCGAGTTACCGAATTCAACTGAAGAGAGCTCTCTCTCCATCTCTCTCTCTCTCTCTCTCTCCCTTTTCTTTTTTATACAATGCGATCTTCGTTCGAGTCGTTAACGCACGGGGTATGCAGTAAATTGCGATGTAACCGCGAGAGGATGAACGTTCGTGTGTGCGGACGAGCGAAGAATGCGGAATAAATTTCTGACCGCTCGTCCGTTCGAGTCGCGCGGTTTCTTCACGTAATAGTCGAACAGAACTTCCAGTATTCACTGTCGTTCATGAATATACCGGCCGAATCTTGTAAAAGAAAAAAAAAAAAGAAGGAAGAAATTGACCGCCGTGTTCTACACCTTGAAAACATGACAAAAAGTTCCAGTCAACGTAGCTTCTCAAACCATCACTTTTATGAGATCGGCCGTTTTTGGTCATAATGTGAGCGATACTCGATAGTGAGACTTCGATAGTGACGTAGGAAGTATATTAATTGTAAAGGAATCTTCACAACTTATCGACAACTTGTCAGACTTTGTCTTGCCTAATGTAAATAGACTGTCATCGCCGTATTAATTTATTAGATTTCTGAGTAAGTGAAATATTTTTCCTGTTTTCATTCTCTCTCTCTCTCTCTCTCTCTTTCTCTCTCTCTTCTTCTTCTTTTGACTTCTAATATTTGTTTTGCCATATTAAAATTACGGGGCTTTATATTATTTCTAAAGTTTAGTGTCGTATAGTTTTGAAATATGATGCACACGTTTTTGCAAATTTTGTCACAGTATTTCCAACTTATCTTGCATTTCTACTTATCCTTATCATACTTATATATATTTCTTAGATTAGGTCAATACAAAAGACGTTGCTGTCGTTTTCCACATTGAACGTTGTTAAATGTTAACGATGTGTGTGCGGGTCGAAAGGGATATTAAAAATTTACGGGGTTCGTTAGTCGCCTGAGAAGATATCAAGTCACAAGGTCTGTCCTGTTTCACCCCATAAGATTCAAGTATATTGAAACGGGGGTAATTTTGTTTTCAATTATGTCGGACGTAAACAACCAAACTTATCACGTCGATCTAACATTTCTCCGAGGCGTGACAATGAACTACTTGGTGCTAGAGGGATTTCTTATCTTCGTAACAGACAATCGACGATTCACCCTACGATCTTAAGGTGGAATTAGCTAGATGCGAGATAGATTCACCCCTCTGCAAGACGGGTGCGAGTAATCGTGAGCGAAGTAAACGCGAAGGGCGAGAAAGAAAACGAGTACACTCACCAGCACTGTGAGTAGTGGGCGATCAGCGAGGGTATGTTGTCGAACCTGTTCTCGCTGGTCTCCAGGCTCAGTTTCCCCTTGTTCGCCTGGATCAGGTAGTGCTCGATGTAGGGCCCCTTACCGGCCGGCAGTCTCACGGAGAGCGCCATCGTGTCGCTCTGGCTCGACTGTCGCACCACGAAGTTCTGCGACAGACAACGAAAATTACGGTTACTCGTGTCGCTAAATAGTCCAAATAGTTAAAGATTCTGAAATGTTTGCATACTATCTTTATATTAGTCCTTAATATCACAATAGTTTTTCATTGGAATGCTAAATGCGATTTATAGGGAATTAAAAATAAAAGTCAAAAATAGGACGTAGAAGTTAAAAATTTAAAGAAGTCGAGGAAGATTAGAAGGAGGAAAATTCAAAATTAACTTGAAGGAACAAATATAAAAAAAAATATCGTCTTCAGTTGCGAATGTTTTAGCTTCCGAATGGTCAGTCGTTTTTTAAAACCTTACAGGCGTACAGATAGTATTATGTATGACAGTATTTTCATCAATGCGGCTACAATTTGAAAGGATTCCTAAGAAAATGCTTTGACGGACCAATCATCTGAATTGTCACGAAAGGATCTTGTTCTTTTCCAACTACTTTACTTTTCTCCACTTTGGGAGACTCGCCTTGGGGCGACTTCGACTTGGTGTATCCGAGTTTCGGTTATTTCGACTTTCCTGCACTTAACTTTATCACTTTCCGAATCTTTTCGAAACTTAATCACTTTCCAACTTTCAAGATTTCGACTTTTTGGGACGACGTTCAATAATAAATTCATTTCTTCAAAATGACTTCCGACCGATGAGGTTCTCTCCCGATGACGAATGCCGAGACTCTCTCTCTCGTTTTCTCGAGCAACGAGAGAATTCGCGTTTCGTCATTACGTGGCCGATGTTTCGACGTATAGACGAGTAATCGCGAGCCACATTGTTTTTCGGCAGTGCAATTCTTTCGTCAGCCAACGTTGACGCGGGCCCGTTCGGGAGGGGGAGGACCTATCACCGAAGGGGTGAGTGAGGGAAATGACGGGGAAGAGGAGGAAGTGGAGGACGAGGCGCGCAACCGACGATGATCAACAAAGGCGCAAAACAATGAGTCGCCTGGGGAGAAACAATGCCCCGTCGCTCGCTCGCAGTCATTTCCGCGCTGATTACGGCGGCGCTGAAGGGAGACTTCGCACGCGCCATCGCACCGAGATAAAAAAAAAAGGAAGGGAGGGGAGGAGGGGAAGGAAGGGAAAATGGAAAGTAAATGTGGAGACGCGAGGACGTCGGGCGTCTTCGCTCTCGTCGCGCCTTAATCGGCCCGCCTCATTAATCTCGCCGGGGAATTTATATTTCGCGATCTCGATTTGTCATTACCGGTATTACGGTGTGTAAAACGAACTTTAAGATAGATAGATAAATCTCGTTCTTCTTTCCAGACGCACGACAGGAAGAATCGCATTTTAAATTACTTTCTCTTTAAACTACGAGCTCGTAGATCCCTACTTTATATCGATACACGATCTCTGGATGTATTCCCTTACCCCTTCTTCCTTGCCCTGCAACAAGTGAAAGGCGCCGGCCCTCTGGATGCCTGGAAGGAACCAGATCGGGTGAGAGCGGATGAGCCTCTCGATCAGCGTGATGTCGCAGGCCACCTCGCTGCCAGAATCTTCCGTGGACGCCGAAGATCCTCCTGAGGTGGCCGACCCTTCCGACGAAAGCGATTCCTCGCTCTGGAAGAAGAAGAAACGTACACGGTGTATCGCTGATGTGCGCACAGATCGAAGTTTGGCGATTGAAGTCGTCCCTCTCTCTCCCTCACGAGAAATATTTTAACAACCTAATTACAATGAGACAATAAACAAACTCCAAATAAAACGGTGAGAAAGTTCTACAGAAATCGGCTCGAGAAAATTCATTAACTCTAATTAATACAACGAATTAACGAATAACATTATCCCTTTCTCTCTCCTATTCTTTTCAACGCGCACGACGAATATATTATCTAAAGGATTTATTTTTATCCTATTTCATCATTTCTTCGAAGTATCGACTTTTCGAAAAACTCTTCGCTTCGTTCGTCCCTTCCGGGGCGAAATCGGAATTGATTCGGGGGCGACAATTTGCGTGAACATCCGTCGCGGGATCGCGAGGAGAGCCTTATCCGAGGATCTCAAACCGGCCTCTCGTTTTCGCCCCCTCGAATCGCCTCGCTGTTACGGCCGTTTCGTTCGCGAATCGCTCGGATTTTCGACAATTTGCCGCGATGCCGCGAATATATACGGAAATCTCCTCGTCTTTTAAGCCGCGGGGGGGCGTAAATCCCCCCTCCAATCCCCGGGGCTATGTGGCACACAATGCAACCCCTAATTCCGCATTATATTACCGGGTGGTCGACTCGCGCCCAGTTATCTCAATTTGCAGAGCCGATGCCCGCTCGTGCGATTTATTTATCGCTCCCCCACCGATATCTCACCCCCCTCTCTCTCCCTCGCTCTCTTTCTCTCCCTTCTTCTCCCTCATCTCCCCTTTACGACGTGGAGAAGTGCCATAGAAAGCGATAATCGAGCGTGCTCACCGCCTGAGGGGTGAGCGAGAGAGAGAGAGAGAGAAAGGTTATATCGCGAGGAAGATCAAGCATTCGAAAAGGACTCTCGATCCTCGGATCGTTCCTCCTTCCCTCGAATTCTCGATCTTCCTGATCGATACCGATCGAGAACGACACAATTTTTCATCCCAGCTCGACGCGGAACTCCCCCCCCCCCCCCTTT